AGGGGATCAATCGGGTTCTTGTGCTTGCGAGGCAGGCCATGGAACCACTAAGTTAAATACTCAGCCTATCTCCTTCTTTTTTTATTGTGATTACTTCCTTTACCTTCCCTTTCTCTAGCTTCTTTTCTAGCTTTTTGGGGGCTATTTTGATAATAGTAATTGTAGCGATTCTGTAAAGCACTGACCAAAATCACATCCACAAACATTCGCATCTGAGCTCAGACTTATGCTTACTTACACTTGAATAGGCTTTCTGGCATCACAAGTCTTTGTTTACAACTTTGCAAGTAGCCAGCATTCAGGTTGTAACTCAATACTTTGGTCAGAAGTTAAAACTAAAGTTCCCATCATAACTCAGGTTGTTCTTAAGTGAGGCCAGTTGTAACTCTCAGGTCCACTGTACTTCAAAAGACTGGAAATACTCTTTTCCTGTTTTTCTTGCCCCCACATCTTTATCACATCTGTAACATACTATAAACCTATGGTATATATTCCATTTCTAGACATTATACTAACTAGATTGGTTATTCATTTTGGTAACTACACTACTATGATTTTGCCATTCAGAATTTGCTGAAAACACTGAAAACTTGAAAACCAAAATGTCAGAACTAAGACTCTACTGTGACCTCCTTGTTCAGCAAGTAGATAAAACAAAAGAAGTGACCACAACTGGAGTGTCTAATTCTGAGGTAAAATATTACTTTAGTAATATTATTGATATTATACATGAAAAAATAACACTAGATTGCTTATGCATAATGTTTATTCTCACAAAATTCCTGACTGTAATAGAATTTGCTGTATTGTAGAAGAAAAAAATAACAAAATTCAACAAAGAAAAGAAATGTGTGCAACACAGCATATGAAAGCATAGTTTTCCTTCCTGCAGTAAATTCAGGATTAATTAATTGATAACATTTTGAATTTTTAACTTTTAGTACTGACATACTGAATTATGTTTCTCCCTGTTTGCATCACTTTTTTTTGTCAGTATTAGGGATCTAATCCTTGCCTTTGCACTGAGCTATACCCTACCCCTTTTTATTCTTTAAACTTGTGATCCTTCTACCTCAGTCTGCCAAGTAGCTAGGCAGACTGGCACTATCTTACCTGGCCATTTGTACTGCTTTTTTTTTTTGTACCACTTTTTAAAAATACAATCTTACCTGTAAACTATCTCCCAGGTGTGGTTGTAAGGTGTTAGTGGTATATCTGCCAATAGTGTATATCTGTCACCTTTGGTGAGACTGACTACATTTTATTTCACCATAGTTTAAATAGTTATGCTTTGGAGTAGATGTATGTTTTCAGAGATGGAGACACAGCTCTGTTCTCTGCCAGCAAGAATTGTGATTTTTCACATTTATTGATAAAACTGTCATTCACTCACCCTAAAACACATTAAAAGAGATCTCTTTGGTGTTAAGCTGTCTATTGAATGGCTCACATTAAACAGAGAGGGTCTCTGCTCTACTTTCAAAGTTGTAACCTGATAAATGATGTCTACAACAGCAGAATGTGCAGATTGTACTTAATGTTTTAATTTACTTTTTAGGTAATAGAATACCATACTACTTACCATACTACTAGTAGAATATGTGGTTTGACGTCTTTCTTATAAAAGTGATTTAACTTACTTTCATTTGCTTACTTCATTTTGGGTTCTTTTATTCATTTGTCAGTGTTGTCTGTAATCACTGTGCTGGTGGGTTGGAGCAGATAAAGAACTGAAACATATCAGTCGTATTCTTGTAAAGTCTAGAGCAGTTATTATCAGTCCAGAGCATCTGTGCCCCCAGGAGACATTTGGTAGTGTCTAGAAACATTTTTGGTTGTCATGATTGAGGGAGTGCCACTGGCATCTAGTGGGTAGAAGCCTAGATGCTGCTTAACATCTTACAGTGAACAGGACAGTTGCTCCCTGCCCCTGCACATTTATCAGTCCAGAGTGTTTGTGGGGCCAAGTAGAAAAGCCCTGATGAATAAAGAAGTGAAAATGTGATTGCAGCGGTCTTTAATTCAAAATGGAAAGTGCATATAGCAAATGCTGTGGGAACTTACTAATGAAAAGTATGATTTGGCACCTGAGAGCTTGTTAGAAATACAAAATGAAAGAAATATAGAGACCACTAAGGCATGGTCACCTCACTCTCTAGTCAGAGTGTGGCCTCAGTTTTCTGAACAGCTAACCAATGCCATCATCCAGAAGAAAAATACCATGAACTAGTAATCTAACTTTTAGTAGCAAAAAAAAAAATGGATTCCTTGTTTACAGGAATTCTAGTTGAAACATCTTGGTATTCCATACTGAAAACAAATGATACACAGTTTCTGAAAGCTTCATGTGAACTTTGGGCCCAGCACCTGGCATATTGTTTCCTTTAGTTGCAGTGAATATGAATTGAAATTTAAATGTGAAGGGTCAGACTGAAAGCAACTATTGTGCATGATAAGTAAATAAATTGGGCTAGTTCTGTTTTGTTTTTCTTTTATAAGCAATATACTTGACCAGAAAACAATTAAGTACATCGTTAATAATTTGTGGATAAAAGCCTTAAAAGACAACACAATTGAACTTTTTCTTTTTTGGCGAGATAAGTATCTTCCATTGTTTGTTTTTTGTAGGAGGGAATTGATGTGGGTACTCTGCTGAAATCAACTTGCAATACTTTTCTAAAGACCTTGGAAGAATGCATGCAGATTGCCAATGCAACCTTCACCTCTGAGCTGCTTTATCGCACTCCCCCAGGATCACCGCAACTGGCCATGCTCAAGTCAACCAAGGTAAAAGGCCAGCTCAGTTTGTCTGCGACAGGATTAACTTAGTTAGCTTTTATGTTACGAAGACATCTATCTGCAACTTAACAAAGGAGAGGTTTATTTGGCTCACAGTTTCAGATGGTTCCATCTATGGTTAACTAGCTCCTGTGCAGAAATGGCAAGGCAGAAGGGCTTGCCAGAGGAAAGCTGCTCAATTCATGGAAGCCAGGAAATAAAAGAAAGAATAAAGAGAGAGAGAGAGATGCCTTATAAGGCATGCCCCAAGTGCCCTACTTCCTCCAACTGGGCCCCACCTCCTAATAGCACATTCAACTAGGAACTCACCCATGGATTAATCCAAGAGGAGTATAGTGGTGTTGCTATACATGGGGGTCCATGATTCAGTCTCTTTCTAAAAGGCCCACTTCTGAACACCTGAGACTTTGGGGGGACGTTTTAGATGTAAGCCATCACATAGGTACAATGAAAAGCTGAAACTCTAAGGCTATAGCCTTTGGTGATTGATAAAGACATTTTTTAGTGGACTTCACTTTATGTCCATTTTTACGTCTGATTGCAACCTTCCATATTAGTCAAGTATTTTTGGCACTTTGACCATCTACACACATCTCTAATGTAACCTTTCATCTTCTTTCTAATCTCCTCCTTGTCCAAGAAATTTAGCGTAGAGTTGTGACAGCCTTCTAACTAGTTACCTTCAGGCTGACCCTTCTGGTAAGCAAACAGTATTTATAGTAATGCAGTATAAATTGGATCACATTATCTAAATGACGGTGGCTCCTTCATTGCCTATACATTAAAGCTAAAACTTCTTAGCCCTTTCTTCCATCACCAGCCTCTTTCCTTGACATTAGTTGGATTGAACATATTAACTGTATCATTCTCCCCCCATATACACACACTCCTGTATGTCATAACCCAAGAATACCCAACTTGGCTCTTTCCCAGGTTAGCTCTTATTCATTCTCTATTTATATTATCTCCAAATCTTCATGTTGAACTAAGAGCTTCTTCACCTACACTGTCCTGTTTTAGCCCTATTCTTTGTTGAAATAAGTTTGAGGGCAGGAACCCTATAGTGTTTACCATACCTCTCATGCTGATATAATATCCACACCTTAGTTTTCTGTCTGTTAATCTTTAATAAGCATAACTGAATTACAAAGAAAGCCAATCACCAAGAGTTTAGCTGTGGTTATTAGGCCTTTCAAAGGTCATCTTCCTTTTCCTTAGAAATTTGGATACCCTTATTTGATTTAATGAGAAGGGCAAATTGGGACCAATGACACTACTTTGAGATGACTTAAAATTGTTTTTGTTGAGTGGGACAGTTTATATTATAGTCATATTTACCACTTTATCACTTTTGTGTATGGTAAAATTCTGAATAATGCACTTTTAGAAATTTAATTTTCATTTTTTTTTAAGATGAAACATCCTGTTGTACCAATTCACAATTCACTGGAAAGGTATGATAATTTTGTTTTGTTTTTTCTTTCCCCCCCAAAAAATACAGACATACATTCCTTTTTTAAAAGTATGTGTGTGGGGGGTTATACTTTGATCATATGGTGGTTTTTCTCATGATTTGAGATGGCACTAGAAGGAAACAGTATCTGACTTTCTTAGTTTGGGTGAGACAAAAACAATACAGACCTTGATTCAGCACTAATGGGAAAATGTTGGCCTTTGCCCTAGGATATAGCTGTCATCCATTACTTCTAGTAACTTTTCATCTCTCTAGAGTTACTGAGGATTGGAATTTCTCTTACATAGGAGCTGAATATTGACTGCAATGTATTTATTCAGAAAAAGCAGTAGTGCTATTCTGTTTTATTTAGAAATAAAAATCTCAAATAGGCTTACAGGATGAAAATAGTTTTATATCAAAATAATTTCTAGTCCTCTAAATACACCTTCCATTAAAAAAAAATACATGCTGGGCTGGGAAATGTTGCTCAGTGCTAGACCACTTGCCTAGTATGCATGAAGGCCTGGGTCTGATCCTCAGCACTGAGGAAAAAAAAGTACATATTGACATGGTTACATATGTCATGTAGACATTTTTATGTATTGACATAGTCCAGATACTTTTTCTTTCAAATTTCTCACAATTTGATTGTTTCTCATTTTCTCCTTTTTTGGGAAACTCTGTATTTTTTTTCTTTTTGAATTATTGCCTCTATATACTCCCACAATTTTGAATGCTAGGTTGAAATGTAAATTTTTTTGTTTTTGTTTTTAGAAAACAGTAAATGCTTTTCCTAGACTTTGCATGCAGGCTTAAACCCTTCTCATTTTTCTTAGAAGAAGATACCTTTGTTCTAATTTGTCTAGGTATAATCACTTATAATAATATATTATGATTGTCCCATGAATAGATAGAGTCAGCTATTTCACTTGAATGTTACATGGCTTTTTCTGTTACCTTGAAGTGTGGCAGGTCCCTCAGGATATGTTGTAGTCCTGTTGGGTGTTATTCTTGCAGATAGATAACAGAGTACCAGCCTGTAGAGTGGGTGGCCACAGCATGTTGCTTCTAGATAGTTAACTGCCAAGTAAACTCAATGGAAGTGGCTAATGGTGTTGAGAAAAAGCCTCCTAGGGAGAAGTTTAAAGAAAGTCAAAGTGTTAAATCTGGCACTTGAGATAACTGATTGGAAGTCAAACAGCTGTTAATGACTATTTCCTGATGCTGGTGGGGAGCAGGAAGATAGAGTTAGCTAGGGATACAGGAAGAACCATTAAGCTCTTTTAATTTCTGAACTGCAGCCTTGAGACAAGTTTGGTTCCTATCATAGACCTTGGTGTCTGTGGGAGGCTGTAAAGTTTGACACTGTTCTTTAATTAAAAGGATTGATGTTAAAAGGATTTGGTAATTGTGACCTCTTTCCCCACCCACCTAAATAACATCTGCCCAAGCAACTTATAACCAGATCACTGGACTTTCTGGCTTTTTTCTTTTAAAAAATATTTTAGGCAAATGGAGTTGAACAGTTGTGAAAATGGATCTTTAAATATGGAAATAAATGGTGATGAAGAAATCCTAATGAAGAACAAGAGCTCTTTATATTTGAAATATGCAGAGATAGACTGTAGCATATCAAGTGAAGAAAATACAGAGGAAAATGTAACAGGTAAAAACAGAGATAAAGTCTGAAATAAACCACCGAACAATAGGAAGTTTGGGGTTTGGTTTTTACCCATGATGGTATACATGGGTAGCAATTGGCAGGGAGACGGTAACTTCACTAACAGCATTCTGTCCACACATCTGACCCAGTGTTTAGAAGGGAATCAATCCAGAGACATATATGTTAGTCATAGAACATCTTATTACATTTTCAATTTCACTGTCCTGGAACATCTTAGCTGTTAACTAAGAAAAGTAATGAACACATCGCTGAAGTTTTATCTCTTGAATAAATAATAAAGACAAGAGAATTTCTGTCAAAACACACTGTCATATATTTGACCCCAAAATTTTATTTCTAGGAATTTGCCTTTAGGAAATAGATTTAAGGACAAAGGTTAGATTTATGGAATGTTCTTTATATCATTCCAGTCAATTCTCATTGTTTGTGGCAATTATTGTCCCCACCTAATGTACTTTTGTGGAGTAAGTTTGCAAGCTCCTTGAATACCATCTTGGAAAAAGAATTTTCAGGACACGTTAGTAAGAGGCAGAGGAAGGGTTTATTAGGCAGAGGTTTTTGACATATTCCAGAGTAACGTATGGGGGCCAGAGATTTAGCTCAGTCTGCTGCCTGCCTCACAAGCACAAAGACCTGAGTTCGATCTCTGGTACCAAAAACAAGAATAAAGTCTGGGTGCTCAGAGAAATGAGGAACATTATTTCCTGGATGAGGGAACATTTATGGTTCCTTGAAGGGATGGAAACCTAGAGAAAGGTGACTACCCCCCACAAGGGTACTAGCCCATTCTATATATATGGACGGTTTTTATTTTAGTAATTAAAACATTCTTTGGATTCTCTGAACCTGTTTCTTTATCTTAGAATCAAGTTACTGCTCTTTATTTTCTCAGTTAAACCAAGTTGTGGACTTGTAGTATTCCTGAGAAATTTTGAGTTTAATGGGTCTTGGTAGGAAAGGAGCCTAAGTTTAACCGAAGGAATGGTGATATGGATCTCCCTGGGGAACTTTGGCTTAGGCCCAGAAGTTGCATTCTTCTTAAAAGTACAATTTTTAGTTAAGATTCCATCTCTTTTCTGCCCATCTTTTATTTCTTCTATCCTGCTTCAGTTATGTTTCATAAAAATCACCAAAATACTGAGTTTGCAAAAAGTACTGTTGCTTCTAGAGGAAATTACAGAGTGAGCTCCCTTCAGGCCTCTGGTCACATTTTTTATTGACTGATCAGTATATAACCTTGTTTTCTGTGTGTTCCCATTAAAGACACCATTTTTGTATGTGTTGTTGACTCATTAGCATTGAACTCAACAGCCAATAGCACTATAACTAATACCTGAAAGAAGCATATCTAACACATATTTTGTTCCTAAAGCACATTATAGCCTTCTTATGTTTATGTACCCTAAATAGTACTACAAGTGAGAGCCTTTTTTATAAGTGAACAGTGGGGCATAGTGGTATTTGCCTGTAATTCCACTTATTCCAAAAGCTAAGGCAAAAGGATCACAAAAGTAAGGCCAGCCTAAGCAATTTAGCAAGACCCTGTCTCAAAATAAAATTGTAATAGTCTGTGGATGTAGCTCAGTGGTAGAATGCTTGTCCAGCATGTGTGTAGCCCTGGGTTCAATCTGCAAAACAAAAGAGCACAAACATGCAAAATATGTGCTAGTAAAGATAGACATTTATTTGTAGCATGAGAACTGAAACAAGACAGAGCATTACCTTGTTTCACCTCAACTAGAAATGTGCATGTTGGGAGACAAATTTTTCACAACTTTCCATATGTCCGTGAATGACTAGAAAAGTGCTGCAAGTATTGATTGTAGAGTTATAAATTTTAGCAAGAAAGCAAAGTCACATATACCAAATATGCTCATAATGAGGATTGACTGTATTTATAAAAGAAGTTTAGAAGTTATGCCCTTCACATGGTCATATTGTAGTATTATGTGATCGTTAAAATAATGTTTTTGAACAATGTTGAGTGATAATGGAAATACTCATGTAACACTGCTTAATAAAAATCGGCAGAATAAAATCTAGTATGTAAGCCCAATTTTGTTTGAATATGTATGTGTTGTGCAATATTTTATTCTATACTTTCAGTGTTTTAGCAATTTTCACCGATGACTATATTAATTTTTTGAGTTTTATTAGTACATGTTTGTAGCACATAACGATCATGTTTCTTGTGGAGACATGTACATGTACATAACACATCTTAACTTTTTTTTCCAACCTCCCCGCATCTCATGACGCCCTTCCTATTTGTAAAAGATTTATATAATAGATTAGTGACAGTGTCTTCTACTTTGCAGTTCAAGGTGAAATAATGAAGGAAAGTAGAGAAGAAAACTTGGGAAATTATGACAACAACTTGGCACAGCCTAGATCAGACTCTTCAAGTTGCTCTCCAGAAAGCCTCTGCGAAGAAGGAAAAGAAGTCATTCCAACTTTCTTCAGTACTATGAATACTAGGTAGGGTACACCCTCCAAAATAAATAACAACTGGGTACGGTTTCTCTTCTGGAAAATTAGTCATAGTAGTACTTTTGGGTGATGGTATATGCTGAGAGAATAGAGGATATGATGTGCCCAGTTATCTCCTTTAACATTTACTTTGTCTGAATAATGGGCAAAAAGGAATTGAATTGCAAGGACGATGTGCTGTATGAAAAAGTTTTAAATTGCTTGTTGAACTATCACTATCTTTGGAAGATTATCTTAATGGGCCATTTTATAATTTTAAAAAAATCATTATGGGATATCCATGAAATCAGGACAAATATTTTGCCCGATGGAGAGGCAGCTGTTTCTTTGTCTTTGAACTGCAGAGAATGCTGATACATTTTCAGCTTTCCTCCTTGATTAAACCAAATTTTTAAGTTTCAGTGACATTGAACTTCTGGAAGACAATGGCATTCCCACAGAAGCTTTCTTGGCATCATGTTATGCTGTGGTTCCAGTATTAGGTAAGATTGCTGCAGTTATCTTACACTCATCAGTTTCTAGAATGTCTTGCTGCATTATTTTTCAGGAGAAATATAGTGAGACAATCCTTCACATGACCAGTCATACACAGTTAAAATTGTATAATTGTAAAGCATTAATGCAGGTTCCCATTTCATTTCTTAATATAAGTAAATATTGACCTCAGAGAGGTGTAATGAAAAAGAATTCCACTTTCTAGAAAGTGTGTATAAAAGCAAAAGTGAATATAATTGCAGAACAGGCCTGTGAACCTATTGATACTATGAAAAAAAATATTTTGGCAGTTATAACAAAGATTTAAAACCCATTATAAGCCAGGAATAGCTGTGCATTCCTGTAATCCCAGCTACTCAGAAGGCTGAGACAGGAGGATCACAAGTTCAAGTCTAGCCTGGGTAACGTAGTAAGACCCTGTCTCAAAATAAAATTTTTAAAAGGCTGGAGATGTAGTTCAATAGTGGAATGCTTAAAAGCACGTGCAAGGCCCTGGGTTAATCCCCAGAACCAAAAAAATAAATGTGTGCATGTAAATTCATTTGAATTCAAATCTACTTAGCATATAGTCAATGATACCAGGAATTACTAATGTGATGAAATTTGCTATATAATACATTGAAGTGTGAATTTTTAAAAATTTATGTATAACTTTCATAAAACTGAAATGTTATGATTCAGTTTTGATAAATGCAGCTACCTGTATAATCTATATCCCTACTAAATATGGGACATTTTCATCACCCCAGAACATTTCTTGTGCCATATGGTCCCCAATCCACTACTCATCTTAGGCAATCATTTTATTGATTTCTGTTACCTTAAGTTAGTTTTGCCTATTCAAAAACTTCACATAAATGGAATCATATTATATGTTCTTACATCTGGCTTTTTTCACTTAGCATATTTCTGGGATTCACCTATGTTGTATGTATCGGTAATACATTCCTTTTTATTATTGAGTGGTATTCTAGTAAATGAATATACCATAATTCATTTCTTCATTCTGTTGATGGACAACTGGGTGATTTCTGTTATAAATAAAGTTCCCTGAAAATTTTTGTGCCTGTATGTTTTTAATTTTAATTTTGTACTAATTTTTAATTTTAATTTTTTAATTTTAATGTTTATTTTTTACTAAATATTTTGGACTAGGAATACCATTTAACTTTATAATAAATTGCCAAACAATTTAGAGTGGTTGCATGATTATACATAGTTGTGTATAAGTATCTAGCTGCTCCACATTTTCAGTAGCATTTGGCAGTGTCAGTATCTTTGGTTTTAACATTCCTCTGAGTGTTTAGTGGTATCTCATGAGACTTTTAATTTGTGTTTCCCTAATGGTAATGATGTTGAACACTTTTTTCATATAATTACTGGTATTGCTGTACCTTCTGTTTTAGTTTGTCCAAATCTTAACCCATTTTTTAAATTGATTATTTTTATTCTTACTGGTTATTAAAAATTCTTCATATATTCCATTATGCATCATGAATATTTTCCCTCAGGCTATGGCTTACCTGTCTCTTTTTAAAATAGCTTTTGACTAAAACACAACCATATTAGGAAGATTTAAGTAATACCCAGAAATTAAAGAAGGACAATCCAACAATAAAAATAAAAATGAGAAAACACTTAAGCAAGACACAAAAACAGATATCCAGTTCACCAATAGCAAATAGTAGGACAAATGAGGATGAAAAGTCTGATAGTGAACCTACAGGACTCCCTGGACCCATAGCACAGGAGGTAACAAAATTGATCAATCAGGCTCTAGAAAAATTCAAATCAGAAATAATTTCCCAGCTAACCAGAGAGATGATGAGCAAAATAGAAGTCATGATTCGAGACTCTAGAGCAGAAACTGACAAAAAAATAGATGAGCTCAAGACTGTGATAGAAGCCATGAAGACTCAGCATAAGAAAGAAATGGAAACAATGAAAGCCCAACAGAGGAAAGAAATGGAATCCATAAAACAGATTCAAACAGATATCCAGGAGATTAAAAACTCTATTGAAAGT